CTACAATCTCTGAACAAATTCAAATATTCAGAGTTTTAAGGCTTCAAAAGCTTTAGACGTCCTGTCCAACAAAGAGCACTTGAGATCAATCTCGTCCTCTACTGAATTTAGTTTTCACCTGGAGCACCTCTCTCAGAACACCATCCAAAACCTCCATCCAGCCTTTGGTGGTGCTCCTGTGTTTATTCCAGACATATCTGGGCAGCAGTGTCACACACATTGTTGTTCATTGTTATTGTTATTGGAATAATAATAACAACGCCAACAATAACATTAATATTAATATTATTAACTTTCATTATTATTGCAAAGACCTATACAACCATTTTACTGTACATTCTCTTCACATCTTTTTTATAGTCTAATTAAATGAACAGGACTCTAAAGATTACTTTTTTTCCTGCCTCTCCATTTTTTAAGCAAAGCATAAAACCATGTGGCACTGCTTTGAGTCAGCAATTGCTTAAACTTTTTAAAATTCCATACACTAAGTGAAAAATGAGATTTACAAAACTAATGGAAAATAAATGTCTCCCGAACATGCAATACATTGACTTTCTTCCTTGCCTTAGTCCATAAAAACAGATGGAAGCAATAGCTACAGTGAATTACCTACTGCATGCAGGGCCCTGTGCTGTCTCTAGGCAGCCCTGGATGAGAACAGACCATGCCACATTGTCACCACCCCACTCCAGTGGTTGTTCTCCCTGGTGTGGATCTGGGGGTGATCAGCCTGTTTCACACACTATTTTACACCTACATGGCATAGACAGGGCTGTCTTTCCACCACGCTTCCACTGTACCTGGACACAAAGGGAATACATATAAATAATGGCAATTTTCTCCCCGGAGCCTTGACCCAGCTCAATTCCTCTAAACAAGGGAATTTTGGAGGCAAATCTGAAGGCATAATCCCTCAAAGGGATGCAGCCAAGGCACACCCTGGAGGAAACACAAGCAGTTGCTTTCCCAGGGATATACAATTGTTTTCCACAGCAAGTAAGTTCCCAGCATGATTATCCACCATTCACAAGCCCTGTTCAATGTATCCTCGGAACACATGCCTCTCACCACACACACAGAAGGAAAACTAATTTGCACAGGAACGGTGTTTTAGGACTCTGCTTTCCGAAGTTTGCCTAGTAAAGCAGAGAGCAAAGAACACATTTTCCTGAATATATTAATCATACCTTGATGGTGTCTACCCTGAATCATGGCATTCAAAGATCTCCCTGGAGCACTATTCCTTACTTTAGAAGAGAGCAGCTATCCCCAGCAGAGATGCAGCACATGTGTCGGGCTGATGGATGGCCATGCTCTAGCAAGAGTCAAAACACTTAGGAAAAAGAAGTAAAAAAATTCCCTAGAAACCTTAACTAGCTGGAGAGTAATTTGAGCATTGCATTCAATTTACTGGCTACCAACAACAGCAAAATTTGGCATCTTCCACAAGGGCTTTGAAGCAATGTCCTTTTCCCCACTGCAGAGCCCTCTCCCACCCATGCTGCCCACATGCCTGTTGTGGCTGATGAGGGAACATGTTCCACCGAGGTCAAGGGCAGCATCATGTCAGACCACAACAAAAACACCATCAGGCCTTGGATCAAGAGAGATAAATGGAGCTTGGTAAAAAATTCACCATGACTTAATCCTTCTAATAGGACATAAGAAACAATACACACGTATATTGCCCTTTACTAACACGTTTGGAAAAAAAAAAAAAAAGGCTTGTCTTGTAAGTAATAATTAAATATTAGCAATTTAAAGTACTGTATATTGCTTACACATTATTTAGTACTCAGCACCTCCCATGCCCTCACAAAGGAAATTCCTTCTGCAGCCAATGAACACTTTTGCAGGTTTTATTGGACCCCACAGAAGGCAAGCACCATCCCAGAATAGAACAGCCTGTTCCCAGGTCTCTGCAGAACACTCACCCTTCCTGTAGAGCCTGCCAAGACCAACCAAAGAGAAGTGCAGTACCTGAGCAAAGCACCTGCACAACGGCAGGGAACAAAGCTGCTTCAACACCTTTACACACCATTCTCCTCAAGTGCCACTGTAGGAATTACCATGGCTGACATTTTCAAAGATGACTGGACCAATGGTGACATCCACTTGAGATAGAATTCTGGAAATTAGGAAGTTTAAATCTCCACTTATTAAAAAAAAAAAAAACAAAAAACAAACAAATCAACAACATAATAAGATTATTTGCATATCAATTCCCTTCCATCCTGCAGCATCTGCAGGCATTGCTGTCAGATGGGTGCTGGACTCTCAGAACCAAGAGCAGGCTGTGCTGCAAGGGCTCACTGTCTTAAAGAAACCCTCAAATATAATGCAAAACTGGACTCAAATGTGTCCAGGAGATAAAGCCTAAGGCCAGAAGGAGGACTCTACTAATTAGGGCTATCTGAGCTCTCCTGTGACCTTCATAGTGCATCAGTTCTATGTTGTGAGATCACCAGGTTAAACAGAAATACATTAAAATTAAAGGTATCACCAGCCCTGATCTTTCATCCACCAGCCAGGCTCATTTCACATGGAAGGACATTCCCTTAGCTCACATGCTGTCTTCTGCCAAATCATGAGCCATTTGCTTTAAATAAAAAGGATCTTTAACCACTGCTACTCATGTGAAAGTGCACTGAGCAGGGAGAGGGGGCCAGTGCAAATGCAAATCAGGATTTCTCAAAACTAGAGCTGGCTGCAGTTTGCCACAGTTTTCACACTTTTTTTCCTGAGGAATTTTTCCAGTGGGCCTGCAAATCTTTCCAGCCGGATAAAATGCAGTCAACGCATAAATGAGTTGACAAGTCATTCTCTGCACATACTAAGTTGCTTTTATTAATCCAGAACTGCATGCTACAGATACTGTACAGCATGAACATTTATTCATTACAAAAAATGGCTTCCAAACCATTAAAAATGAAAATCGGAATAAGAGCATAAAACGGAACAGTAACATCACAACTGTTAGGAAACATTCAAAGTATTCACAAAAAATGTTATAGTTAGCATCTTAATAAACCAGAGAAAAATCTGAGACAGTTTTACAATCGCTTCATGTCAACTACAATGGCACTGAATGAACAGATGAACAATTTTTCAGCTTTATACAGCGTTTTTTGCAACATCAACATGCCTAGGTTTTTTTTTTTGTTTTAAGTTTGCTACCTACCTGTATGTAGTAAGTGTACATAAAAGTGGCAGTCTGATTTTCCTTTTATGAATAATCTAATATACAGAATTTGGCCCTTAAGGGTTTATACCTCTTCATTTTAAATGCTTTCCGGACAATCTGCTACCAAACACGTCTGTTATAGGTGACATTAAAACTACATACATATCTACCTATGTAACATCACAGCAAAACATGATGAACAAAAAAATTACAGCATTAAAAAAAAATAATAAAGTTGTCGGGAGAAAGTTAAAAGTCACTGAGAATTTTGGCACATAAAAATTTTGCACACAGCCTACAGTCCTAATGTCGCAGGGGATTCAGCTGCAGTTCTGAACGGGAGACACTTGGACCTTGCTATTTTTCAAACAGCATTGCTAAAAATTCCCTTGCTAAATTTTCAAGTCTTTTCGAGTGTAATGGCTTTTAAAGCAATTTTATTCTTTACACTATTGATCCTTGAAAAAATGCATCTGCGAATGTCCATTTGGTGGCAACCGTATTTTATATAGCAAAAAAAAAAAAAAAAAAAAAAAAAAAAAAAAAAAAAAAAAAAAAAAAAAAAAAAAAAAAAAAAATCACAAAAACAAATCAAAAACAAAATCCCAGAAAAAATATATATATACACATTTATATATAAACTTAAAAACCTTGTACAAATGAGTTGTTATATATAAGATGCTTACACTAAAGGAAAAAAAAAACCTTTATACAATGTTTCAAGGAAAAATAAAAGAAGAAAAAAACATTTAAAAAGGGACAACATACAGATACAACAAGCAATTTCTAAAGCAATAAATACTACTGGTCCAATAGCGTTGTGATACTTTTAATTGTTGAGTAGCGTCCCCTCCCCCAAAAAGAACAACACCATGGAACAAGGTATATTAACACATTTTTTTAACCCTTTGTTTCTGTACATTTAAACAATAACAAGTAACATCACAATAAAGGTTGTTTCACACAAGGAAGAAAAAAAAAAAGAAGTAGTAGCGGCACCGCATTCGTTGTGCCCTTAAAGGTTTAAAAACCAGATGTAAAATGATTGGTTCGCAAGCTCGTATTTAATACAAATAATAAAGAACCAATGCCTCTGGCAAGGGCTGCTTCAAAATTGCTTCTTTTTTTTTTTTTTAATTTTTAAAATCAGTCTTTAAAACTAAGCTATTGGAACTACATAACAATTATGTATATATATATATTTTTTAAACACTACAAAGACTTTAAACAGCTGTTGATAAAAATTTTGGCAGAATCATGAGGCTTTTCTCATCTACATATTTAAAAAGGAGAAATTGAAATAAGAATGGGTCAAATATTGACCAATGAACTCGATAAACATCAACTAATGTAGCCACATGGCACAAATTAAAAATGAAACCGATAAACGACGACAAACAGCGGACGACAACAAGAAGGAAACAAAAAATAAAGAAAAGGAAAAAAAGAAAAAAAGAAAAAAAAAAAACCAAAAACCAACAGAATTCAATCCCCCCGAAAGGAAACCAAAAGAGCTAACGAGGCTAAAGCTATTCTAAGGACTTCGTTACAAGGGAGAGCGGCTGGGGCTGTGTCCCCGGCAGCGAGCTGTGGGAATGCAAGGAGGACGTCGAGGGCTGTGCGAGGGATGCGGCGGCGGCCGGCGGGAGGGCGGCCGGCGGGTGGTCCAGGGCCCCGTTGGGGCAGCTGGCGGCGGGCAGGGCGCCGGGCTTGCTCGCGGCGCTCTCAGCGAGCACGAGCGAGGATGGCGGCGGCATCATCACCAGGTGCGCCAGCGGGTCGGGCTTCAATGAGAGAGAGAGGGGTTGCGTTTGTTCAGTCTGTGGTTTCGAGTCTCTGGAGGGGGAGGCGAGCATGGCGGGGGAGGACGGAGGAGAGTCTAGTAAGCTTCCATCTGAAGAGGGTGGGCTGACGCAGCTGCCTTCACCTTGTATGTAGCGAACGCACTTTTTTTTTCTCCTAGAAACAGGGAGAGAGTTATCCATGAATAAAGGGCAGAGACGCTGATGGAGACAGTCATCTACGGCAAAGAGCCATCAGTCAGCTACTCTGGGCTCTGCATGGGTGGCATCCTGGCCCCACGTGCCATCCTGGGGGTCTGGCAGGGTGTCCTCGGCACCAAACCCGCTCGGGAACCTCCCCTCAGCTAACAGATTTGGAAAGGTTTCACCAATGAATTGTCTCTTCATCCCCTTCCTCTTCAGGCTGCCCCCTTTCCTTATTTTCATAATCAGAAAACCAGATAAATGGGTTTTGGAGCACACTGTTCTAATCTAAAAACTTTCCTCCATGGAAAAAAAAATATTAAAAAGTAATTTAATCCTCCTAAAGTAAAAACCCTGGATAGCTGATGGTATCTCAAGATGTCCCATAACACTGTCCATCTCAATGGGGCTATAGCTACACCTGTGTCACCTGTGGTCTCATACGATGACCCTGCTCTTGGGAGGCAAGAACGGCTGCAAACTAATGCTCATTGCTTTCTCCTCTGTTAAGAACCACACCAAATCCAGAAATGTCAGTCAGACAGAAAGGATATATAACAGAGAGAACAAGAGAGAGGGGAAATAAAACCAAAATGAACAAACAAAGCAAACAGAAGAAAAAACAGGAAAAGAACAGGAAAAACAGAGTATGATCCAAAATAACAAGAATAACTGGTTGTATGGCCTGCAGGTTGTGGCTTTATATCGACTCAGTTTTACTTTTTGTTTTAGGGGAGAGTGGTAGATTTGGGAAGCAGCTTGTCTGCGTTTTGGGGATTTTCCTCTGAGAGGCCATCCATATAATTCCAGAGTGGGATCCAATTTCAGTAGGTGAAGAGCACGGCGACAGGTACAAAGGTAAGGAGCAACATGGATCTTAATTTCACACCAGGGCATATGAGAGTCTCGCAAGAGCTGCTCATCTTCAAATAAATAAGTGACCCGACAGAGGTCTTTTCTCCTCCCTCTGTCCACTGGATAATGTAAAGGAGCAATGAAAACAGATGACAGTTTCACACCATCTCTCTTGCCAAGTATGTGCAAGACAATACTAGCAGTAGGACAGAAATAATGAGGCAAACAACCACAGCATCTGGCAGAATGGTATCCAGTGGCCACCTTGACCCTAAGCATGCTGTCTCTTCAGCCCTCCAATCCACAATCACACTTCAATGGGAAGTGCTGAAGCACTGTCACACAGCCCAAGGCACAGGACAAAGCCTATGAGCTTTGAGAGCCCAGAGCAGCTCTGCCACAAGAACTCTGGATGCTCAGCTAAGCTGCACAAAGCCACCAACGTGAAGGAGGAGGTTGCTCTCCCTCTCCAGTGGATACATCACCCCAGCTCTGCAACTCCATCAGAGAGAGCACCTGAGCATGGCACAGCAGCTGAGTGTCACCAGGAGACATTCCCCACTCCAGGAGGTGCCCCAGCTCCCCTGCTGGTCACCAGTGTTCTCCCCTAGGCATGGCGTTTGACTAGGTTAAACCAAGCCCCACCCTCGAGGCAATGAGGACAGATGCTTCTCATTGGCAAAGGAGACCACACTACCTTGATCCTGGAGTTAAAACTATCATCTCCCATAGCCAGGAAGGGAACAACAAACCCAGTACCCCATATTCCACCAGCTTCAGTGAGGGACCAGTGCTGTGACATCCCTTCCTCCAGAGCCTCAGGTCTGCTCTCAGATTCTGCTCCATGTGCCACATGGCAAGGTAAGGGGTTAGGGCTATTAGAGTTTAACCACGTTAGCCTGCAGATCAATACGTGCTAAAAACTAAAGACAACCATGCAACTTAAATGTTAAAAAGAAAGAAAGAAAGATAGAAGACAGCAAGTGAAGGCTGTAAACCATGCTTTATTAGAGCAACGTTAAAAGACAGAAAAAAAAAAATTAATTTGGTGGGCTCAAAACAGACCTTGTTAATTCTTCTACAATCAACAAATAACGCTGGAGATCTCTGGCTCTTGGCTAAGGACAGTTCTGCTGTTGACTCTCCCCTCTCCTCTCTCACTACTGCCTACTTCAGCTGTGCAGCACTACCAGGGCCACAGCTCCTGTTTGGACTTTCTGTACAGCTCCACAAAGCTCACCAATATTACTTGTGTGGAAAGATGGGTTCTTACACCCTGCAGACTGCAGGACTCCCTCTCCATCCCCAAATTAAAATTACTTCCAAGCAGAGACCGAAGGTCTGCCTGCCTCATTGATGGGGGTCCAAAACTCCTTTAACTGGACTGCTCTGAACCTACAGGGCAGTGAATTATTTAACTGGAGGCAGTTTGAATCTAGTATGCCAGAATTTCAAATTTATTTTTTAATATAATTTAAGTTCTGTGGCCAAAAAGAAAGAGCTCCCATGGCAAAGCAGCTTTAAACCAGGTTTACCTAATTTTCTGTTATTGCAGAGTTAACAACCTTTTAAAAACCAAACCCATTGCTCTGCTACCTGAAATAATTTTCCTTTGACTAGGATTAAGGGAGCATATTGCTTCTTTTGCTGAACTCTTTAATAGTGTGGCCACTTGTGGTCTGAAAAAAAGTATTTACTTAAATCATGATGGCTCAAGATGGGAGGTATTTCTGCAATCTGTACCAATCACACCACGGTTACCTGTGGTCATTAACTTGTCAGGATTAAGTGGGACAAAAGGCCCAGAGGGCAAACCCCCAAAGCATGCAAGTCTAATTTTAGCAGACTTGAAGACCACCAGGCAGCTCTGGTGAGGGGGAATAAGTAAAAATCTAAGGAACTTCTTGTGCCTCAGTTTTGCTCTGCTAAAGGCTGGAACAAAAATACAAAATATTCCCCCCTCAGAAGCACTGATGAGGATTATTCACTTGTGCATTGCTCTGGAAGTGTTAACTCACTACATCACCAACAGACCTGAGCCCACTTTTGTTGCTCCTGAAACTAGCCCTGGAACAGCACCAGTAAACCTGTTATGCTGCAATTGCCATGAGTGAAAGCCACAGAAGATTGCAAGGGTTTATTCAGTTGCTGTGGGCAAAGATGTCTCAGTTTTCACCACAGTAGCAAACTGCACATCTTTAGCACCTACCTAAGGTGTGCTACAAAATGCTACCATGCTAGCAAATGCAATGTTATAATGGTTAGGACCAGAACTAGGAGAGAAATGCTCTAATACCTAGTGGTAAAATGCCTCCATGCATTAAAAATCAAAACAAAACAAAAACCCAAACCAAAATTAAAGAAAAGCAGCTGACTCTGAATCAGTAAGTCCAGAACTATCAGCTATACCACTAAAGTTGTCCCTGATGCACTGAAAAGACTTCTGACCAAAATCTGGTATAAGTTAAGAGAGGGTTTATGCTCCACATGTAACCAAAGCACTGTATAGACCAAATAAAAACTTTCCTTGCTGATAAAATGTAGTTTTAAAAGTATGTTGCTTACTTAAGCAGCCAGGAAAAGATAAAGCAACACAAACATGATGTGCCCCCAGTTCTGGTACTTGGCATGCAGAGCCTGACATGCTTCACGTACTCTATCTCTAGACTACACAAATATCTGCTGATAGTGTGCAGCAAAGTAACCACAGAATAGAGCCTAACTAAACACAGCACTGCAGTCCTTGGCTAGCATGAGACTCGAGCCTCCTGACACAGTGGAGTAGCTACTCAGCTCTTCTGGACTGAACCCTTCTCCCTTCCGGCACTACGGAACTGCTGCTTTCCCAGCTTGTTTAACACATGTCCTGGTACTGATACCTAAACCCCAACACCCCATACTACCATGCCTCAAATGGGACAAGACACAAGCTGCAGAAGGCATTTCTGGTGCCTCTGGTACACTGACACACACCACCACCCTCAATCCGAGGTTCCTGGACACTAAGCACAGACAAGACTGCGTGCATACACAAAATACGATGGACATCTGAGCTACATTCTAAATGAGATGGAGCACATGGGACTGGCATGAGTAAGGGGGGAAAATGTGGGAGAGGAATCACTACACACAGAGTGTGGTTTGGGTTGAAATACCTACCATCATAATATTCCAAATTCAAAGACTGCTTGTATCAGAATAAAGAAACAACAAATTTAACCAAATGCGATCATATAAGGAAAAAGGAATGAGAAAAGAACTACTCGGTATCCCTCCACCAAGAAAGAAGTACGTACTGAGTTACACATGGAATTAAACTCCAGTAGAACATGGGCTGCCGGAATTTGGGCTCTCTGATGTCTTTCATCTCCTTTTAATGCTGGAAACTGTGCTACTAAAGTTGTAATTAGTTTTGCCTACAGCTCAGAGGTTTACAGCTCACTTGTTGGGATAAGATTTAAGAAAAAATATATTTTTGGGATTAGGAAAAAAGATTACATATAACTTAAAAAAATTGTATCTACATAAACCTTACAGAGGCATAGTAGCCAACAGGTAGCTGTTTTAATTTTTCAGATAATACCAAAAGAATGAATACAATATAAGCTGTAAACACTGGCTTTTACATCTCTAATAACGAGAAAAACACTAGTACTTCAGATCCCAGAGCCTTTTTAAAAAGCCTTTGCAGGCAGGGGGCATAGACCCAAATGAAAGACAAAATATAAATGTCCAGATAAACATTAAATTTGCTGACAATCTGGAAAAAAAACAAAAAAAAAACCAAAACAAAAACAAACAAACAAAAAAAAGCCAAAAAACTGCCAGCTTTAAGGACTTTGAGTTTTCTTTTCCCAGTTCTACCACCAGGGAGAGGTTATTGGTAAAGAAAGAGAGAAAATGGCATTAAATTAGCAAGAAATTCCAAAGATCAAAGATTATTAGCAATTGATGCTGTGGAAGAGAGAAAGGTGGGGAGTGGGGAAAAAAGATTAAAAATATAAAATCACACAAATGCACTAAGAGGACAGATTGCTTTTATTTCCCCAAAAGCCTAATGGGTAGTTTTATACCTGCATGGTTTGCACCATAAACTCTGTCGGTCAAGCCCGAACAATGCCCGACACTTCTTTGGAGTATTTGCATCTGTTAGCATAAGGTAAACACAAAAAATACAACACAATGGTGGATAGAGCTCATTTGGTCTGCGTCATCTCAGCTACAGCTACGTTCAGTTTTTGGTCACCTCCGTTTTATTTGGTAATCTCCCCTCATACCAAGGGCAGGAAGGAAAACAGGATTTTTACAATGAGCCAAAGGAAAAACTAAAACCAAAAATCTCCGACACGGCCAGGAGCCTGTGTGGTGTCGGTACCGCACTCAGTGCCACATTATCAAGGGCTTTGGGAGCGACTGTCCTTGGGTGGAGGCTGGGAAGGCAGGAGCATGGTTGAGCCACGGATCAGATGGGCTTAAGGTTGATGCTGTTTTACAGTGGGTTTTTGGCTAGCAGCAGCAAAAAGGAAGGCAAAAAAAAAACAAAAAACCAACCAACAAAGAAAAAAAAATAAAAAGCAAAACCCTTTCGGAGAGATGATTACTGATGGCAGTGTCCCACTCCCTTGTGTCTTCTAGATCACAACACAGAGCTACAAAGCAACAAGGCAGGAAAAAAAAAGGGGAAAGTACCAAATAAACCAGCTGCAAATCAGCCATAGCGAGTCTGGGAAAACTATACACACCTGCAGGGGCCGCACCAGTTATTCTGTTGATCAAGGCCAAAGCGCGCTCGGCATTTCTTAGGAGCGCTCAGGTCTGAATGAGTTCAAGAAAAGCGAGCAGAAAAGGGAGAGAGGAAAAAAAGAAAAGGGGAGAGGGGGGGAGTGAGAGAGAGAAAGAGAAAGAGGAAGAGAGAAAAGGGGAGAAAAAAGAGAAAGGTAAAAATAAGGAAAAAGTAAAAATAAAAAAGGGAATAAAAATCAATGTCCTCGTTATTAATTGCAAATATTGACTTTTGATTTAAAAGTTAAAAGTGATAATTACATTTTTATTCAACTCTTGAGATTAGCTGTTGCAATTAAAGCTGCAGTATCCCTTTATAAAGGACTGTTTCTTTCCCTTTTAAGAGAGCAGGTAGAGGAAAGTCTTTGTGGTTGGTCTAGCAGGATGTTTCAGGCAAGATTGATTTGGGCTGGGGTTTCTTTTTTTATTTTTTTTAGAGGGGGGGAAAAAAGGAAGAAAAGAAGCTGAGTATGGAAGTTAGATCCTGAACATGCTTTTTTCTTCAACTCATACGAAATAAAGAGAAAAAAAATAAAAGAAAGAAAAAAAAAAAGAAATTATATCTCCTGGGATAATGCAGCTTTTGGAATAACATTCAATTTACTTGTTTTCATTAATTTGTATTTAAAAGAATGGGTAAGAATAAGCAGATTGCAGAATGAGTATGTTAGTATCAGCCAGAAAATAAAACGTAAAGCATGGCAAGGTGCTGAGTTAGTACAGCTAGTGAATTGCAATGAATAGGCTTGAAAAGAAAGGAAAAAAAAAAGATCCAAAACTAAAATAATAATAAAAAATGCGTATGCATGCTAATGTGAGAAGACTTAGTGGGAGCCATGAAAAATGCCATTAGATTAAGGAGGTTCATTACTGACTTGCTTCCATTCTTTATCAGTCTCTTTAAAGAAATACTGCATATTCAATTTGCACAGTTAGTACAACTCTTGCGTTATTTTTACTGTATTACTGTTTTAATAGCAATTGTTACAAAAACAAAAAACAAAATTAAAAAATACTATCAAACATAATAGATATAAAGATATATAGATAATAAATACTATCAAAACGTGTGGATGATATATTTTTTTTAATGTCATAAGTGTTTAATGTTAAAATCTATAATGGCAGGAAAAAAAATTAAGAAGCAGTTTATAACTATTTTAAATGACTCAAAATGACGTTAGCACCTGTAATCGGAGGAAGTGAAAGGCAAGGATTTAGGAAACATTCGCTGTGTTCTGAAAAAAAAGAACAAATTATACAAAGGCTTCAAAAAAACTAAGTTAGGGCTTCTTCAAGATCGACTATGAGATTGCCTATGCAGTATTTCTAATTTCCTATATAGAATGGCAAACCTCCTTAATTTAAGATGGGTGCGATTTACCACTGTAAGGCATGCATCAGGACATCCAGGGACAGCCCAAATTAACAGCACACGCACACGGACACGCACGCACGGCCGCGGATGCGCGGAGGAAGCGGCCGGCTGCATAAACGATGGCACAGGCATTACAGCTACGGCTCTGCGGTTACAGGCTCGGCAACTACACGGACACACTCGGCTAGTGCCACACGAGGAGGCTCTGACATGCAGTGGCTGGGTTACTGGTTTTAGAAGGGCGGTAACGCGTCAATTATTGGAGTGCATTTTAAAAAAAACAGCTGTCTAGCATAGGGACTGGCTCCCCTGAGGCCAGGAGACCTGTGCCCACCTCCCCCGTACCTACAAGGGTCACACCAGGACTGCCACACTTCCACTAAGCAAGAGGTTTAGACTTGACTTTACTTACCATTGGTCTCTCCTGGCTGCTTATCCCTTTTCCTCTTCTTCTTCTTTCCCTGCAGAAAACATAGACAAACAAGAAAGATTAGAATAAAATCCCTAACAAGTGTCCTTTCAAGAGGGCACGGAGCAACAAGGCTGCAGCTGGAGCAGGAAGCTCCCAAACCGGGACACCAAAGTGTGACACTGGCTCCCAAACCGGGACACCAAAGTGTGACACTGGCTCACCCCCAGTGCAGGGAACTTTGGAGGGCCCCAGGGAGATGCTGCACCCCAGGACTGACTCTGCCTCCCCACCCTGTGACTTTTCAGACAGCCTCACTGCTGCCCACCCAGTGCTAACACCCACCAAGGCCATGGGCAGCTGGGGGCAGGCAGAAGGACTTGCAAGATGCTGCTTTTGAGCTAAGATCATCATGAAACCAAAAACATCTGACAGGTGCATGCTCCTGCATGCAGAAGTTTCAAGAATCTTTTGTGGTTGTGTATTGGTGCAGCAGGAAGGGGAAGGAGAGGGAGAATAGAGAGAGGAGAGTGAGGTCAGACTGAGCCCCTGGAGCTCCTCAGCACCAAACCCCAAGCATTCAAACAGACAAGGAAGCCACAGTGACAAGTGTATCCTAACCTACAGTTTTATAGTTCCACTGAAACCTAGAAAACAATGCCGGGACAAGAAAAAAAATCCAGACATAGCCAAGACCCTTCCCATATTTTGCTCTATCACAAGGAAACAACCAGTAATATTTTGCTAAACGCTATCCCTTTCCCAAATGCTGTACCACAAGATGATGAAATTTGTTACAGGTTTTGACTGGAGGGAGAAAAGACCATTCTGTTTCCCTCCAACAGTGTGGGAGAGGACAACTGGGAGCCCAGCCTCAGTGGAAAAACAGTAATTGCTTTCCAATAGAAGAAGTATCAAATAATAAGCATAGCTCAAAAGAGAAAAGCTGTTCTCTTAGGAAACTCCTCTAACACTGAGGTACAGGGTTTGCAGACTAGTACAACAGGGCCAGTGTAGGCAACAGAGTAATTTCATTTTCACAGATCTCCAAATGCTATGAGCAACAACTTTTGGGCCAGCAATGTCAGCTGTGAACAACACAAGAATTCCTGGCTTTTGAAGACACGGTAGCAAGCACAGCTGGTGAGAAGACCTGAGCACCAGTCCCTTGTGGTCAAGGAGGCAACAAACATATCTTGGAAGAAGCAATCTCACATAGCTTTGAAGGGTTTGATATATCTGGGAAAGCCAAGAGGTTCTCCCACACAGTGGGCATGTTTCTCAGTAGATGAATTCCAGATACACAGTTAAGATGGGCTTCAGCATGGCACATCCACATTTGGGATGCTCCCTATGATAGGTTTCCTGGAATGTACAAGTAAAAAATTCCCCCCAACATGAATGTAGGACATTGATCTATTGCTGTCCTGTTTCTCCTCCACAAAGCTGGCCTTGGGGCACAGGGTTTCTGCACTCATTCCCCCTTGCTTGCTCAGGCTTGTAAACTGCCATCCTGTTGTGCAGGCTGTTCAAGGTTTATGAGATCCTTCTGGAGATGGAAAAAGCAGTGTGAACTTTAAACAACAACCTGCAGCCTCGATGCTGATGGCAAATAATCTCTGACACCTCTGAGGTAATTTTTTGGGATATGGAAGTTGTCAACTGCTAGAACAGCCATCAGTCTAACATGACAAGCAGATAAGGCAAACATGCTTTGCTCCTCAAGCTCCCTGAGAACAGAATAGGGAAAAGCATGGTATCTTGAAATCCATGTATCACATAAAGATGCAAGAGACTCAGACTCTGCTCCATCTATATTGATCTAGATTGACAGTAACTCGCAAAAATCAGTGATTTTTTTTCCAGCTTTCAACAATGTAACCAAAACCAGACAATTGCCTCAAGATCATAAGCCTGACTTTTATTTAATCTCAAGGAGGCCACTGGCATAATTAACAGACGGCATCCGTGGAAAGTTTGCTTAATTTTTGCAGTACATTTGGGAATTCGGGGGCTATTTCAGTTTGAGACCTTATCACTTCTTCACTCCAGGGCCAGCCAGAACAAAGGCCAGGAGTCACCTGCCTTTCATAAGCTCTTCAAGCCAGGTATTAAAGTCCTGTAATGCCTCTGGGGAGCAATCTGTTAAAAACAGCTGATCTACAGGAATGTCAGCCAGGGACCAGAAATTTCTCATTCTTTGTCAACACAAGCTTTTAAAACTCTTCCTAATAATGAATGGACAGATGTCACATCAACTTCTTTACACCCTTGTCAAAACATCAGGGAGAAGAATAATCTGTTTTGCTTGCTCAATTTTTGGGCTACAAGAGGATATTAGTCTATGTAGCTAAATTAATATATGGACTTAAAGGAAAGAACTGTGGCAGCAGTTTTTCAAGTGCTTTGCAGAAGACACCATTTTTTCTTTGCCTAAGATTGTTCTCCCAAGACTTGAGCAGAGTTTAACATTTTCTGTCATTATACTATACAAACTTTTACACTGTAAATATTTATGTAAATACCTACTAACCATTTTGGTAGCTCCCTCTCCGAAGCCAAACCAAGATGTGTTTTGATAGGTCTGCAGAGTTCTTTGGTACTAATTTTCTAGACAAGCAGTGGGTGAGGTGACTGGACCCTTACATACTTCTGAGTCCAGCACCCAGCACTGCTAAACATCTCATATTAGATCTCGGGAAGAGACAACGTGCTTTGTGACACCAAGAAGCCATGAAGCTGAAAGCTGCATTTCCTGAATGCACTGCTCCTGTCTCTGAAGACTTGGGCTATAGCTGGCCTTATCCTCGAGCCTGATGTGAGGTGCTTAACAATTTAACCACTTCAAGCAGCCCAAAGTCGCTCCCCTGCTAGATGTGTGAAAGGCTCAAGACCCTACAAACGGCTGAGGGAGGAGGGGCACTCAGGAGAGCTGTGACTGGACCAGGAGAGAAGACATAAATAAATCCTTCGATGATGCAGAGGTACCTCTCTCTCCTCAGGCAGGAAGGTTCCCCCTGAAGGTCACCTGGGGGTACAGCATCAAGCCGCCGGGAAAGCACCGGCTTTCTCATCCTGTCCTTTTTAGCTTGAGAAGAAAGGGTTTCTCAGTGTTCACACAGTGAGGACAAAAGTAAAAGGTCCTAAACACTGAGGCTTTGTACATGCCCATCTGTCGGTGGCACAGTCACTGTGCAGAATGAGCATTCCTGAAACCTCAGTCGAGCCCAGACTCCCTTTTGAACACCCAAGACGACGATACTGCACAGTGCTGAGGAACTACCTCGAGCCTATGGTCTGACAGCCTCAGGCCAGACTGAGCTGAAAAGGGAAGGAAAATGTGCTAAGCAGGGGCTGTGCCTCAAAGGTCTCCTGGGAGGAGCACAGAATCAAGAATATTCGGAACAGGAAGGACCACTGAGCATGCACAGGTATACCTGTAATGACCAAGGAAGGAGGGCTGAGCCCAGTGGAAAGAAAAGATGATCAAGAAAACAGAAGGATTTGAAAAAATGTCCCTAAGTACATATTGCTAAATAAGTGAGCATGAGAATTCTCCACCACTGAAATGGCAGAAGAGTGTAAAGAGCTGCTGCTGCTTCTCCTGGCTTCACTGCAGACTCTGAACTGGCTTTCTCCCACCCATACATACAAAAATGCAGATTCA